TGTTTACATAAATTCTAATTTTTTTTAGCACTATATACAAAAATAGCTGACAAAACCTCCCAGGTCAGTGCCTGTGATGCTGTCAAAGCAGCCTTAATTCCAATTAATTAAAAAAATGCATTTATTGTAATTTAATTCTGAAATATAGCTCATGTTAAGAGCATGATTGTAGTTGGAGGCTATTATTGGAATAACAAAGCAATGTGTCTGCTCACACACGAGGTATTCCAGACTTCCTACACTACGTCATAGCATTTGATTCTCTCCGCTTTTGTTTTTTTCTCTCTCCTCGGGTGCTTATTTGTATGAGATGTTAACACGATTTTCTAATTACTTGCCTGAAACACATTAGAGATACCAGACCTTTGTAGTTGACAGGATAGAAATAAAATGGTGTATAGGACAAACAGTGCCTCATATGTATAGCCAAAGCCATTAAGGAAAAACACAAAAACATCACTCTTAACTCTGAGAGAAGCGCGGTTTCGAGGCGATAAAAGCATCTTCCTTATCAGTCTCGTAGCTTTCCCGGAGGCTTTTGTAGTCACTGGTGTGTTTTCGTGTCTCTTCCGTTTTCCAATTTCTCACCCTTTCATTTCTCTCCCTCTCTTTGTCTTGGTAAGCTGCGTGGTCCAGAAGTCTGAGGCCTCTGTGTTCTGCCCGCCTCCGCCTTCGCTGCCGGAGATTAAAAATAATGGGCAGCACCATTAATTAAGCGACTAATCTTACTGTTTATGTTTTGTCATATTTACTGCTCACAGATGCGTGGAGTACCCCACCACACCACCTCCTCCAAAAAAATGTAAAAATTGCTATTTCCACTCGCATTTAGAGTGCTTCTGCAGCACGCACACACAAAAATGAACAACAACAACCCCATACATGGCTCAGCGGGCTGTCAGAGATGCCACTTTACCTCATTCCAGCTAAAAAAAAAAAAAAAAAGAAGAAGAAGAAAGAAGTCCCACCACTCCCCACCCCACTCACTCTCCTCTTATTTATTTTCGTAAGCGGCTCAGTTAATATTGTTGATTTAAGACCTCACCTTCAATTTGGTGTAGCATGTGGACAGAGCTTTAGCTTTTGCTGCAGCTGAACCAATTTTCTGCTTCAAGCGCCTTTAATAAACCACGTAGCGCTATCAGGAGGCTTTGGCTTCCCTGATGAAGGCCATTTATTTCAAATTAAAGGAGAGTTCCTTATCTTTGGCGGCCTCAAACGGAGGGGGAGATAAAGATGGCACGCTTTGGTGTCGTACTCTGTGTTGTTAATGGTGGGACCAAAAAGAAAAAAAAAGAGGAGGAGGGCGGGCGAGGGAGAGAAAAAAGTAAGAAAGAAGACAGAGTTGGAGGGAAGGCGAAAAGTGGAAGAAGAGCGATTAATCAGGAGATATAAACCATTGGAGGTTGTTTGGGGGGAACCGAGTAATCTGATAGGCTGTCATCTTCTTCAAATGGGCTTCTAAAAGAAAGCCAATTGATGCTTCATTCCATCCATCACTCTATCTCACTTTCTCTGTTTTTTCCTCTTCATCTCTGTTCGTTTTCCTCTTTAACCTCGATCACCTGCGCTCAGATAAACTCCGTTGCCGCATCCATGATATTTTTCCTGATGATAAAGTGTTTGCATGGATATGGATATGCTGTAATTGAAACGATGGGGTCAGCTTCTCTTCATGAGTCAAAGTCTAAAAGAGTCTTTAATTTGGCTTTCAATTAAATCCGGTGTTAAACGCTCCTCATGGAGAAAGCGAGCAGGGACACAGTGCGGAGATCGACGTGTTGGCATGTAGCAAAGCGCGTGCGTGCACGGAGCCCTTTGATGTTTACAGTGTACGTGTGCGCACGCGCCTGTCTATACCTGCGTGGGTGTACATAACTCGCTTGTCTCTGCTTCAATCAGTCAGAATCCATTACTGCGAGGCGCCCAGGCAGCAAGCCTGTCGTAGTTAACAATCACACAGATAGACAGGTAAAGACAAATTATAATACAGCCCACATATCAAATTAAACACGGCTAATTCAATCTCTCAAAGCACACTTTTCTGCTGTATTTGATCAGAATGATCCTGCCCACTCAATTAAGTACGATTTAGCGCTAATTGTACGATTCGCAGTGAAGCACGTACCATACAACCCATAGGTTGTTCAAACAGGTTGGCACGTCTAGGTGTGAATTGTTTCTTATCTTCACTGCCAATTTTTCTACTTTTTCTTAAAAGAGTTTCTTTTGTTCTGATCTGAGACAAAATAAAATTAAAAAGACATCTTTAACCCACAGCTTTAACCCAGAACTTGAACACAGCTGTAAAACAAGTGTTCAAAATTAAACACTACAGTTTGTTGTTTGGTATTGTTACAGGTATAGACAGGGGACACAATTGAAATTGGTACAGATGTTCATCCTAGCCCTAAGGTGAAAAACTGTGGAGAGTCAGGAGAAGTACTTTCAAGAAGACTTAAGAACTTCTAAAGCAACGAGAAAGACGTGGAAAGTGTAGTTGTGCCGGAGCACTGAAAGCACCATCAACTGCTTTTCCCCCCCTCTAAGTGAGGAAATGGCATATTTGTGATTTGCATAGTACAGTTATTTCTCATCCTCCATCCTTTAAGTGTCTGTCATGCAAAAGGTCCAGTATAACAAAACAGCTGCTGCAAAGCCGCCAAATTGAAGTTCTGCTGTTTGATTCACATCAGTTTATGAAGTGGGTAACATGTAAACGTCCCAATTTAAAGAGTGAGTTTATTTTTTAAACCTCCTATAACACAACTGAGATTAAAGTTGGACACACTGCTAACTTCATGCAGTCTTAATTGTTAATGGTGTAACCATAGTTGATTGATGAGATCAAAAAGTTCAGGAGGAGTCCCTAAAAGATGATAAAGCTTCCCTGATTGTTGTGTGTGTAAGGTCGGGGGGCGGGTTCATTCCACTGCAGGGCAACCTGCCACTGCATGTGGCGAATAAAATTTCAACTTGAACTTGATTTAATCACCCTTCACGAAAAAAAAAAATTTTTTTAGCGTGTCCAGCCAGCTTTCAGTGCAGCTAATGTTGTTAAGACTGCTCAGTCCTGTTCTCTCCTCCACATCCAGAGGAAATAAGAAGAGAACATGAAAGCTTCTAATTGCTTGGGGGATCCTTCTGCGGATGGAAGTTTGTGATAGACCAGAATCCTCGCTGCTGCACTGGTGCATTTCCCCACTTTTCGCCAAATATGTCAGTGATGTGATCATTTTTGTTACCGCTACCAAGAAGGTTATGTTTTTGGTAGTGTTTGCATATGTGCGTGTTGTCATTCTGCCTGTAAACACACTAGCTTTGTGAGGGTGTAGAGTGGGCTCATGTTAACAATTCATTAAAATTTGGCTCACCTTCACTAACGGCTTCAATGTCATCTTAATAATTTATCGGCCTAAATTTGACGAAAAGACGTATAACTTTATTGTCAACATACAGAAAGTATAATATCAATATTTAAAATAACATGTCACACGTGACCTCTGACCTCGCTTTTACATTTAAGGATACCTTTCTTTAAAGTTGTCCCCAAAATATATGATATCTTTAAAGAAAGTATTAACTTATTAGCTTCATGTCCAGTTATTTACAATTCAGTGCCTATTATCCATGACCTACTCCTACATAATGTTTATATACAAAGTACAACACCGTTGCCTTTAAAGTAAATACTCGGAGGGCTTGTTTCTGCTGCTACATCAGGAAGTGAGCACATCTCTAATGAGACTGATCACAAAGCCTGAGTGATCTAACCTGCAGTGTTTCATTACTGTCACTTAGTTTTCCTGCGTGTTCTCTGCTGCTTCAGAAACTGGTAGCAGTCTTAAATATCCTCTTCCCCTCTACTAACAGTTATTCATCATCGATGATCTCTTTAAGGATGCCAGGATGATTTGTAGATGACCTTTATCTTTACAGGGATTTGTCTAATGGAAAAGTTCAGACAAAGTTCTTCGGACAGCTTGCTGTTGTTTAAAAGAATAATTTCAGCATTTGGAAATGCACTGTGCTAATAAAGGCTTTTTAAATAAGGTCCCCAAGAGTACTTGGAGGCCCTTTTTTATTTGTCTGGTACAAATGTTTCCTTTGACTCCTGATAATAATTTTGTGATCAAAGCACAAAATCACTGCGACCTCCCGAAACACAGTTTTGGCCATAACTAAGAAATTCTCATTAAGTAATTATGGCAAAATTTCACACAGCATATGTTTTGATGCCAGACTATGATGTGCATACCACATTTTGAATGTAATGTTCTCCAAAAAGGCTCTTTGTGTCAGTATTTAAAACTGTAATCAAAGAACCACATTTCTGAAATGTTTCAATGAATGAATTCCATGAACAAAGTGAGCTGATGAAGTTGTTTTGTTTAGTCACTCTAGTTGACTCTGTCTTGTCTGTCTGTGCAAGCTTCTGCTTTTTGCCTTCCTTTGTTTACAGGCTTGTGTCTGTCTGTGAGTGTGCTGCTGGAGAGTTGGTGAATAACAGGTTTTTGGAGCTTTTCTGCTGAAAATAGCCGTGCTGCCACCAAAACAGCAATAGACAGCTCTCTTGGATACTTGTAAACTTTCATAGATTGTAAATGCATTTTAGATGCTTTTTCTTGCAGCTTTTCTTCCCTCTAAGTCAGTCATGAATGTGAGACTGACAGCTAGAGTATTGATTTTTGTTCGTTGTTGATCGTTGTTTTTTGCTTCAATTGTGACCCAGCATTTTTCTCTTTTTCTGAGCAGCTGACCTACCTGAATTCATGTTACACTGATACTATGTCATCAACTAATCAAAGCTAAACTGATAAATGAAACGTTGATTTACAGATTATGTAAGAATCTGAATGAATAGTGTGATGCCATGAGCTGATTTAGAGAGTTTACTTTTTTTTTTAATTTGAAAGCCCAATTTACACTAGCAGTAAGAAACAGAGGTACAAAAATGACAGTTTTTTCACTCCGTCTCTCTTGTTTCTTGTCTTTTGCAGGCCTCGCAACACAGAGGCAGTGTGTGCTGGCCTGCAGGCTCAGATTTTATCCTGTTACAGGGACAACAAAGACCAGACCTTAAAGTGTTCTGACCTGGCCAAAGAATACATGCAGTGTATCAATGCTGCAAAAAAGGTGAGAGCTTTTTCAATCTGCAAAGATATAATAAAAAAGTGTCAGGGATGGTGCAAAGTGTTAATGTGTCATAAATGTAACGCTGAAAACAGAAAGATTTGACATTTATTTTTACATGTTATGAGGACTCCACCTATAGCCTTCACCTATTGTTTTCGCACTTTGGTTCCCCTACAGATGCAAAATAATCTAAAGTAAAAGTGCTTTTATTTTGAAAATGCATTTAGATTGTTTATAAGGATTTATTCATTTTTATGAAGTAGTAGGAGAGTAGAAGAGATTACAATAACTAATAGTCATTCACCTTAAAAAAAAAGTGTAATCCCGCCCCCTCACTGCTAAGTTCTTCTTTAACAGTCGCTTCAAGGTTTTTCAAAGATTTTGTATTTTTTTTTTTATTTATTTATTTTTTTTTAAGTTGAGCTATACGAGCTACTTTTCAATAGTTGATTTATTACCTGCAGTAGATGGGATCGGCACGACCTGGTTTGGAGAAGCAGCCTGGGGTAATGCATGGAAGCTGAGCAGTGCATACATTAGGACTGGGACAGCACTGAAAGCCACCTTGATTTAAGCATATGTGATATTTAAAATATTTCCATTCTTTTGCTGTTAGACAGCCTTTCATGACAGGAAGCTGAAGCCAGTTTCCAAAACAGCAATTTGAACTTGCAGGAGTATCGCTGAGTGACTTAGGTAGTTTAACACGTTTAATCAAAAACACCAAAGTCACACAATACCACAAACAAACGAACAGATCGAGCATGTCCCGTTTTCTGCCAGGGGAAAATTACTGTTTTTGTCAACAGAGTCTGGTGGCTTTAATGAGACTTCAGGTTTCAGTTCCCAGTATAAAAGGACTGTCTGTATAGCCTTCAAATAATCCAACCTAACACTTTAATGCACTTCTGTCATCAAAGGAAGTGCAGGGGAATACTTGATGACGATGTCCCTGCAACAATAGAAGGACCCTTAGAGTTTGCCTGGGTTATGTGGCTGATTTTATCGTTAACTTTGATTTTTCTGCGCAGAGGCCAGAACTCTGACAAAATTGCACCGCTAATAAAGATGCTCTGATGTGTTATGTCAAAAAACAATGTATAAAAGAGTGACACAAACACAGCCCCTTAACTATACGTTGCCTTAATAGCAATTTTTTTGTCAGGCAGTGGCGCTTAGTGCTAAATTTCGAGCATTGTCACTGAGGCGTGTGTTTGTTTTTGTTTGTTTGGGGGTTTTTTTAGCCATATTTCCATGTAACATAATTGCTCATACAAAGGTTAGAAACAGCAGAGTGCCTTCTTCACGTCTGATTAGCTGCCTTGCCATTAACTAAATTAACAGCAGAAACCCCACTGATGCTACTTCTCTCTGACACTCTCAGACCTTCACCTGAAAGTGCGGTGAACACTTACAAGGGGGCTTTGTAGACAAAATGATCTGTGCAGTGTTTTGAGATGCGGTTTGGGGACAGTTGAGAGGTATAGTAACTTGTTAAAAAGGGATATACATTAACAGGTCACTTTATTAGGTGCGATTTACTAGTACCGGAAGTTGGATACACTCTGGTCATAAATTCATGGACATGGTCAACGATAATACTCAGGTAGGCTTAGGTGATTAAAAGATACTCAGTCTATTAGTCAGTTAGTTAATTACTCAGTCAAGGGGCTTGATTTTGCCTAGAATATATTGCCCACACTATTATCCCCAGCAAGAGCTTGAGTGTTTGACACAAGAGAGGATGTCTGTGAAGGTTCTTAGTCATCCAGGTCATCGTAGTCAAAGGAGCTTGCAAAGAAAAGCGTCTGGACTTCTTTAAGTTGCTTGAAGATGTTTCGCCTCTCATCCGAGAAGCTTCTTCAGTTCTAAGGTCAAATGGTGGGGAGTCCCAGATTTAAACCTAGTGGGAGTATCCCCCACAGAGGGACAAAAGGATCTTAGAACTGAAGAAGCTTCTCGGATGAGAGGTGAAACGTCTTCAAGCAACTTAAAGAAGTCCAGACGCTTTTCTTTGCAAGCTCCTTTGACCACAAGAGAGGATGGAGCCATGCTTTATTGTTGTTCTGACCCTGCCATCCAAATGCTGTAACAGAAGTAGGAGACTCATCAGACCAAGCAGCATTTTTCTATTGCCCAATTTATGAGTTGATGTTGACTTCCTATGAGCTTGAAGCAGTCTGGCCATTGTCCTCTGACCTCTGACATCAACGAGTCATATTGATGGATATTTTCTATTTTTCGGTCCATTCTCTGTAAACCCGAGAGGTGGTTGAACATCCCAGCAGATCAGCAGTTTCTGAAATACTTAGACCAGCTTGTCTGGCACCAACAATCATGCCACATTCAAAGTTACTTAAATCACCTTTCTTCCCTTTTCTGACACTTGGTTTGAACTTCACCAGGTTATCTTGACACGCCTAAAGCATGCAGTGAGTTGCTACCATGCAATTGGCTGAGCAGATATCTGTGTAAACAAGCAGTTGAACTGGTGTACTTAATAAACTGACCTTTTAGTGTATTTGGGGATCTTTTAAATCTGATATTTTTATTGAAAGTATGCACATTAACATTCTTATATGTTCTTTGGAACTGAAGAAGACTTAATGAAGTAGCTGGTCTGATTTTAAGTCAACAAGAGAGCATCACCCAGTTGATGCAGCAATAACGTCTGCAGAAATTTAGGAGGGTATGAAACCAAACCACCCACTCTGTAGACACTGTCTGACTGTAAATAAGATTATATAGTAGTGAGGATAGTTTTTATAGGCTTTTTTAATGATTATTTTATTTATCATGTTTTTAAGCTCTCTTTTTTCCACCTAGCCCCTCATAACAGTAAAGAGTGCGTCGTTTATGTGATCAGGCATTACAGCCAGATTTGTCCTTCATCTTTAGTGTCAAATCATTTTTAAAGTAACTTTTAAAATTCCTCATGTTTCACTGCCGTTCAGCCTTGCACATAGAAAAGCAGTGATTTGAATTACGTTACCCTGAGCTGTGCAGGTTTTTGAAGATGAATATAAAAAGATGCTGGAGCATCAAAAGGCAGGTTAAAGGTTACTAACAAGGTTAATTGATGATTAAATATCACAGAATACATTTACAATTGGAAAGAAATAAGAGAGGCATATAAAGCTTTTTAAATTTGATCTAACTTCCAGTTAGTTGGAGTTACTTTACCTCCAGTAAGGCAGTTTCATTTCTGCCTGGCTCATTTTCTAAGCTCTTAGTTTTTCTTTGTTTTGGTGCTAATAAATTATTTTTTTACAGGCTGGATTCCTTATACCATTGTTTTTCTTTTACTTCTGTAGGCTCCTGAGATGAATCATCAGTCTGTCTCTGATGATTTGGCTTGGGTTATCTACTATTTACTGAATCTTCACTCTTTTTATCTCTCTCATTCCCTTATATTTTTATCCACAATGGAAAACTCAGATATACATTCACTTAGAAAAATTGAACCTTTATACTTCACTTTTTGGCACCGCCTAATATTGAGTTCAACCTACTGCTGTTTTATTTAACAGCATCGAAAAGTCCTGTGTACATTTCTGCAGCAGCTACAAGCTGACAGAACGCTAGAGAGAAAATGTGAGGAGGAAGCTGCAGGACGGGCTACTCGCAAAGTTTGTGCGGTAGAAGCATTTGAAGGTGCTCATTATGCACTCGAGCAGCATATTACTGTATCTCATGCTGGTCTCTGCTCACATCTCCTTTGTATTGCTCAGGGGCAGTGAGGCTTACCCTGGAACACAGTAATACAACGTGTAATAATCAGCTTGCTGAACATTGATACCTCTGCTGTTGTACTGCTGTATTGTGTGCATGGATACATGCACTCGTGTGCTCGTTCAGCAGTGTCTGAACTTCTGTTTATGTCTTGTATGACAGCATGCAGTCATAAATTCACATCTTTAAATATGCAGCAATGTTTATGTTCTTATATTTGTTGCTTACTAGGATTGTTGTGTGTGTGTGTGTGTGTGTGTGTGTGTGTGTGTGTGTGTGTGAGAGAGAGAGAGAGAGTGCGTGAAAGAGAGTGGGAGACTTTCCTCCATATATTAGCTGGTGTGAGATAACAAGGAGTGAAGGGAAGACTCTTTGAAGACAGTCTTTAAAGACTACAGCAGAGCATAATAATACGTATATGCGTGTGTGTTTGTGGCGCGTGAATAGCTTGCTACATTGCAGCTCGCTTCAACCTACTCATCAAGGTCTTTCCTCTTGATTGGCCCCCGAGGCATCTCCCTGACTTTCACCCTGTCAATTTGGAAGTTTATAAAGTTCTTCCTCCGTTTTGTGTCTTTAAAAGCTGTCACAGTTAGTTTGGTTATCGCTGATAACTTTTTCCCAGCGTAGTAGCAGTGGCACAGTAAACTCGCCAAGTGCTAGTGAGAGAACAATTAGCAGAAGCACATGGATAGTTTTCAAAGTTGATTGCTTGTGTTTTCTAAGAAGAGCTTTTAACTTACAGAGTATCAGTCTGTCCTGTTGTTACGACCATTGTGAAACCATTTGACCTGCTAAAGTTTGACAGCCGTTTGTTTCTTGTTCGTGGAGTTTGGTCATAAACTCCATATGAAGGTTTGTAAGTAATTGCAATCTAATATAAAAATGCAGACAGATTACCAACATGTTGCAGTCCCTCTGAGTACGTAACCACCGATGAGTGCAACCCATTTTCAGGATGTTTCTTTGGGACTCGGCTAAACTCGTTGCCATATGGTTGTATTCTAGATAAAAGTGGTATTGCCGAGCGCCTCTGTCATTTAGCAGTTCAAGCGCTGTCCTGCAGCAAGTATGACCTTTTTAGAATTTCTGTTTCAAATCTATGAGGTTCTGGCTGAACTAATAGAGTTAATCACTGTGTTATCACAAACAGACTGCACATAATTTCCAAACTGGTCCCATTCAATCCCAAACTGATAGCCTACCGATTATCTCACTGATGTTTTATCTGCGTCTTCATGCACCAACAAACGCTTTTAGAACAGCAA